ATAAAAAAGTCGATAAAACGTCAGAATAATTCGGACTAATGATGCATAGGTTAAAAATCCATATATTACCCTGTTTCAACCTAGCTTCAACCCTCATCAACCCTCGGATGTTTGGCCTCTTAAGCTGATAAATGTATGAAGGTCTCGGAAATGGTCACAGACCTCTAAATGACTAACATAAGGACTATAATTTCAATTATTAAAGGAGAGGTTTTCTCTTTTGATACCGATAACTCAGCTTCGTTGATTTTCGTCAGGGTCTTACAGTCTGATTATTTGAAGTATCACAAACAAACACACAAATCAAGATATATGTAATTCAAGTAATTGTACACAACAATCACAAAAACAAGTATTCTCGGCGGCAATGAGTGTTAACAATATCCCGAAGTAAGAGCTATATCACAGCCTATAGCTATTCCGTCTTTACGTATTGCAGAGTTATCTTCTCTTTGGAGCAGGTATTGATTGTTACGTCATTGGTTTGTCTGAGAAAATTACGTCGTTTTCTCAAAAATTGACGACGTTACTCTCACAAACAAGTGACGTAACAATCAATACCTGCTCCCAAGAGAAGATAACCCTGCAATACGCAAAGACGGAATATCCTACCGGCTACATGGTCAAACTCTTATTTTATATAGACGGATACTTGGACGACGTTCAATAAGACCCGGGTTTAACTTCACAATACACGGTGCTATATCCTACACGTATATCAAAACCTAATGTAAATATATACTTTTCGAGGCATAATTCCGAAAGAATTCCTACCTAAATTGAAGTCAGAGAGAAAAAAAACTGAGCCAGATAATCTCATGATGACCCTAATCTAGACTGACGAGTTGTGCCAGCACACCGACTTAAATACAGAAAACACGGCAATTCGCACATGCATGATTCGCGCTTAAATACTCGGAGCACTTCCGGATATGTTCCGAATATCTCTTATTACTTCCAAAACAGAACCAAAACATGTCGACAAAGTTCTGTAAGGAAATAGCCTACGAAATCGTACTCAAAACGATTAGCTTAATTTACAATCTCAACTTTTACACAATAAACCAGTTATTTGCGATACGGTTTTATTAAATGACAGATTAATACCTTGTATTGAATCCATCTATGTTCAATACAAGTAATGATTCTATATTTTAGGTAATTATACATAAACCATGCCTTGAAATAGAACCAAATTGTAATTACAACGAACCATTCTTACTTTCCAAAAGCAGTTTCAGATTTTTGTTCTTAATTGAATAATATTGATAAAAATATTTCTGTTTTCATGCTTAATTCATACATTTTGTGACACACCAAACAGGAAATTTAAATGACATTTCAATGTTAATCGGAAATTCATCAGAAATATCGACGTCACAAATGACGAATCCTCCGTAAACAAGGAAGTTTACTGACCCTTATGTTGGTTGTTTGTGAATTGATATATAAAAATGTGAGTTTGATTAAAAGCACATTAACGGGTTAACATGTTATATCAGCCGACGATTGTGTATAACACTTCGACAAATATGAACACGCACTACTTTGTAAATCCCATAAAATCTCGCGAGAAAAATCACAGTGTAGGGAAGCCTACCTTGACGTAAAGGATATCAGTTGTTTCAAATAATAATTGTGATTTGCTTTATATAATATTGTAAATAAGAATAAAGAAATGAACGAAATTTTGTATCTAATAATTGATGTATTGTAAGCATTGAAAACGTTATAAAAATAGATCTAGAAATTTTTGATTTCAACTGATTTCTGCTTCGTTTTCTATTACTTGTTTGCCTACCTCTGGCTTATTCCGTCTTTGCGTATTGCAAAGTGATATTCTCTTGGGAGCAGGTATTGATTGTTACGTCATTGGTTTGTGTGAGAAAATTACGTCGTTTTCTCAAAAATTGATGACGTTACTCTCACAAACAAGTGACGTAACAATCAATACCTGCTGCCAAGAGAAGATAACTCTGCAATACGCAAAGACGGAATATGGCCTTTGTTAGTCTTCGGCTGTTTTGCAATTACAATAACTGATGCATTTCATGTGCAATTAATTTCGTATTGTGTTTAATTTTATTTGCTTGTCTGTAACTGAAAATAATCTTATTCACTGAGTATCCTGAATAGCAATCACCGATATTTTCATTTTAATTATCTTACAACTAATAACTTTCGTTAATGCATATATCTTTAAATCAGAGAAACTGTTGATTTTTGAATGAAGACAAAAGCCCGAAGTTGAAGCTAAATAGTTTGATGCAGTCTGACATTACATGGTTTCTAAACACATTAGCGCTATCCAATGTTGGATCGCCCTTCATTTGTATTATAGACTGTATATTTTGTAAATATTTAAACGTTGCATTTGATTGATTTCTGTGTTGTTTATGTTGACACACTTGTAAACAATCGTATGAAAAACACTACCGGACACCTGTGTAAACCGGCCAAATAGTTTGGTCCCGGTGACATCCGGTTCAGACCGATTATACTGTATTTACATATCTAGAATTACAAGCGTCCTCGAAACCGAAGTAACCAGATGTGTATTGTTCACTTAAACATCTTCCTAATTGGTTTTCCCCTTTCTTGATTGCCGTGGTATTGTGTCTACCGAGAATTCCAAATGCGCTTCTATTCTCTCCAAAGCATGGTTCCCTTCCGGCATCATACGCACAGAATCCTTGAATGACCTGATCGCCATGCGATTGTTCCCCACGGTTTGGTAACATATACCTAACATTGTGTGTAATCAAGTATTTTTGTCCCACTTGTTCAGGATTTTGCTTCAACCTGCGAAGGTCGGTAAGTTATGTTTCACGTCTCCTTATGTCACCAATTCGTGGTAGCACAGAAAGGAAAGGAAGGTTGCATACGGGAGTGGTGGGATACGTAACCTAAAACTTCTAAATGGAAATGTGGAAGACAAAGACCAATGTTGTGTTCATCAAATTTTAAAACTGAATAAATTCCTGCTCTCAACTTGTGGTAAAATGAGTATTCCTGTCCATGATACAGGTTTTGGTACCGACCCCTTGAACTTTCTCGCGTAGTTGGGGTGTATAATTTTAATGTTGAAATCAGATCTGCATACATCTCAAGTGTTTTTTTGTAATTGCCAGTGAGATAATGGAATGTTGCCAACATCATAAGTCCCGGACTGGTACACATCGACGCTTGCGTGTCAACAAGTGTTTAGACTTCCTCAGAGCCCTATACGTCTGCTTGTTACTACCAGTAGTACTGTACTCAGTAAACGAAGTATTCGCTATGTTTATACGGATGGCCCGGCACATTGAACAGTGGGCATCTTAAGGCTAAAGTTGTCAGACATTTATTCCAATCATTATAAAATTGCATACTATCATTTATTTACGTGTCAAATTTCGATCTTTTCAAAAAATATGAAACATTTATATGGTATTGTTGGGCTTCTCTATTGATATGTTTACACTTTGTATTTAATCGTTCAGTGACGCAACCCTTGATGACCTGAATAATCCGACGTGCCTGTACGTAAAACTCTGACATAACACTTCTGTATGTATGTCTTCCAGTCCATACGGTTGTAAGGTGTCATACACAAACACGTGAATAGGTGTGTCATCAGTCATGTTAACTTGAAGTTGCCGAACACAAACACAACTTGAGATTCCTGTAAGTCTGTGTCTTCTGTAAGGAATGCTGGTCATGCCACACATAATTAGTAGGTAGCTAAATTGTCAATCAGGACAGCTGGAATGATTATTACACAAACACGTCTGGAACAATGTTTTTAAACAGGACGTCTGTTAGGTGGGGTATACAAACAAGTCTGTATGTATGTCTTCTGTAAAAGTTCTGGTATGTGTCGCTCAAAGAGATACATCTGTAGGTATGTGTTCAGCCATGCATGTTGGTATGTGTTATAGAGATATATAATTCCAGAAAGGACTGCTTGTTGGTGTCATAGTGTTATGTCTATAAGTATGTCTTCAGTTAAAACTGCTGGTTGGTGTCAATAAATATATATATAACCTTTATTCATTTTACAACAATTATGAAACAAGCTATTTCAGCTTATATTAATCACTCTGTGTGTCCTGGAATTAAGCGCACTGGGGTTATCAATGTGAGAGGAGAAAGCCCAAGTGGTCAGGCAGGTGACAACACCGTACATTTTCACGTCCGATCGGGGAAACCAATCACGGTCACCTTGGCAAAAGGCCGGTGCGTTATTCACTGCGTCAGCCGACCACAAAACAGACAATATACCGTTAGGTATGTCTTCGGACAGGACTGAAAACATACCCAAATATATATTATCAACGAATAAGGTTAAAAGGTCAGGGGTCACAAACAAGACCACTTTTATTAATTAAATATGTTTGTACAAAAAATACCTTGTAAAGTCCTCGCAAAATTTATTTGATATTTACACTTTAATTCTCCACTTGATTAGGTTTTAGCGGTCATCTATCCAAACTGACACTTATAACCGGCTATGTCGTGTTCACCACTTAAACATAAGGAAGAAGAACGCATAATCATGTGTACCTCCGTTCATTTTGTTTAAAATACACAACACTATCATGCTTTTCTTCAAAATATCGCGATGGAAAGGCGTTAGGGCGTGAGGTCTTACTGTGGGAGGCAACTGGGGAACCCGGAACACACCAAAGTGGTCGGGAAGGTGACCCCATACCAGCTCACCTCCGATCGGGGAATCGAACCCCGGTCGCCTTGGTGTAAAAGAAGTGCACTATCTACTGCGCCACCCAAACAGCACTGGCGTTGTAAGGGTTGCATGGGAGATAACCCTGACAAAACTTTCGACCCCGCCCTTGTTTCCCTAAACATATATTTGACCTTTATCTCACTTTATAATATCAGCAGTGAGACCTACGAACGTTCAGGCCAGTTTGAAACACGCGAGTTTTATCCAGTATTTTTGACATAGGGTTTGTACCAGTAATGCTGTATTTGAATAAATAAGAGAGACGATACACATTCAATATTACATTTATTATACCTCGTGGATATTTGACAAATTTCATACAGTGATATAAAATACAGAACCTAACATTCACGTGGCCTTGGACCTTCTTAGTTCTCTAGCAACTTAACTTTGCCTACTATTCTACATATAGATTACGACCTAACATTCCACGGAGAGAGAAAGGAAAGCGACAGAAGTAAGCTAACATGCAATTAAGCGCATCCATTCAGATTCAGATAATGCTATTAAAACAAGCACTTTAATTTGTATTCTTTTGTTTAAATTTGAAATGTATAGCGGCGGATATCCTGCATTTCTTATTTCAAATTACAACTTCTCCAGGATATGCAAACTAATAATATATATTTTTTAATTTGACAATTATTCGAGCAATTTGATAGCAATACGGTTGGCTAAATCACGACAGACAATATAAGGTTGATTTTTTTTCAATTCAGAACAAAGGTCAGCAATCAAATTGATACAATCATAATACATTTAAGATGAAAAAACAATAAAATCTACAATGATAGAGCAATGCACAACACGTCTTATTCTCTGGAAGAGCACAACAAATGAGAAAGTATATAACTCACAATTTTTGCTGGAATTCTTCAGGATACTACATTTGTACAAAACCAGCGATATTAATTGAAAATCAATATCATAATATTTTTGTTAGATCTACAAAGCACGCATCATTGACATTACTATGACAACGCAGTTTATCTGGAAGTTCACAACTTACAATATTCCCTGAAAAAACATAGCAGTTTTAGAAATTCAAAACAAATAACGTTATTTTGGAACTACTCATATCATGTTAGTCTGGATTAATAAAACGAATGTCTCTGCACGAAGAATACTAATGACTATTTTTACGATTTGGGGAGCAGTGTTAAGTTTTGCTTTGAACTGCTTTTGTTATCGTAGTCTTGGTATTGTTTCGCTGTTATTTTCCAATGATTCTAATTCAGAACGATATGTCGATATATTATGCTAGGATTAAACATGTAATTGGCGCAATTCAATAGAAATAGTCAAATAAGTAAAGCAAAATGCAAGAGAGTAATAATGAAATAATGGTAATCAATAAAAATAGGTTGATTAATGATAAAAAAATAGACTGATTTCCTATCAGAAGTTCACATAATGTTATGTTTTATATAATGCCCACTTGATGAATATATATATATATATATGTAATAGTGAAAAAAGTCTAATATATTTCATACATTTTATAATTATATACTGTAATAGTGTATCTACTGAGACATTCATGAACCGTTATTCCTTTCAACCAGGTTACAATCTGGTAACACACGTTCCGGGTCAAAACAACAAGGTTACTAACAAACAATGGTAGAATACGTAAAGAAGAGGGCTGTTGTGAACTCGTCAAAGAATGAAAAGTATACCAATAGTTCATTGTCCACTGTTACATCAAACTGAATGTATTCCACTTTATTGATATACTTTGATATAGTGTTTACTGAGAACTCTGCAGGGACTCTATTCTCACTTTAGCTGGGTTGTCTTCAGGCATCACACGTAGAGAATCAGTAAAAGACCTGATGGCCCTGCGATTGTCCCCCACAGTTTGGTAACAGATCCCTAGCAATGTGTGTACTATCCAGTATTCATGCCCCCCTTGTTCAGAGTCATAGCTCAACGCCCGAAGGTTGATGAGTTCTGTGTCACGTCTCCGTATGTCACTAAGGTCGTGGTAGCACAGGAAGGAAAGGAATGTTGCATACGCCAGTGGTGGGATATGTAAAGGATAAGGATGTTTCTTAATTTCCAGGATTAGCTGTGGCACACTTAGACAAACGTCGCGGTCGGTAAAAATTACACATGTGTAAATCCCCAAATTAAATTTATGATACAATGTGTTATTTTGCCCAAAGTTCATTCGTTGGTATCGTTCCCTTGATCTTTTAGGTATGTCGTTAGAAAGGAGGAAAGCTCTCAATGTCGACATCAGATCTGCACACATCTCAAGTGTTTTTTTGTAATTGCCAGTGAGATAATGGAATGTTGCCAACATCATAAGTCCCGGACTTGTACACATCGACGCTTGCGGTGTCAACAAGTGTTTAGATTTCCTCAGGGCTCTATACTTATGCTTGTTTCTTCCGGTAGTACTGTTCTCAGTTAGCGATCTAATTGCAATGCTGCACAATACTGTAACCATCACACGATAAGCAATGAATTCATCAACATCAGCTTCTGATACGGCTAGAAGTCGTAATGAAGCATCAAGGTTTTTCTCAAGCATGGCAGGACGGAAAGATGCAATAGGACATGTGTGGAATAGGTCTAAATCCCTTTGTGAATCATGGTATTGTTTTGACCCTAGGTTTTGATATTCCTCAAGCAGCACTTCGAGGTCACTCATTCTGATTGACTCTTTGGACAAAAACATTCTGGGCCATTTCAAGTCGTAGCAATCTATGAGGAAATGAAGAAGTTTTTGACGGTTTTCCCCATGAATTTTCCTTAAAAATAGGTTATTGTTTGGAATAAAATAGCTTGGGCAGTAACCCGATTTGACCCAGGCAATCAAAATACTGAGACAGAACCGCAAACATAAAAATGTGTTTTTGTAGTGCCATAACACAGTTGGAGAATGTTCAACTGCAAAAAACATAACTGTTTTTATGAAATATGAACAAAGGATATCGCTGTCTCCTGTAATATGTTCTAACAAGTCTTTGATTTCGGAGAGGAAATATTTCAGTAATCCATATACCCTGAACTGCGGATGGGTGAGAGAATGAACTAATAGCCGTTCTGCACAGGCAAATGAAATCCTCCATTGTAGCAGCGTGTCTGTTGAACACTTATCACCAACAGGTACGAGATGACACCCACCCTGGACAATCATGTCAATCATTGTCTGAGATGGCCATCCATGAAAGCGAGCTCGATGTATCCATTCATTAGCTTCCCTAGGCCAACACAAACATGGAAAAGCCAGTGCAAGATCCCGATCACCGTAAGTTGTAGACATTAAAGATAAGCATGGTCCGTTTGAGACAAAATTGTGAATCCCTGTCGTCACATCTATCATTCCCTGCCTGTAAATATCACTGGATAGAAACATTGAATCCCCAATAGGAACAGCCGCATTCCGAAAACAACGGAAATAATCTACTTCTCCAAGCTGCAATATTTCAAGGGCTACATATCCAGGCCTGCAATCAGCCTTCCTCATCAATAGAACAGTCTTGTGTTGGCTATTACGTTCAATGCTGCGTCTCTGTTCAGGATTTGTTACAGCTACGTCCAAAAGTATACCCATTACGTCTACATCTGAGGTTTCCATAAGGAAACCATCCCCTTTACTGCCAGCAAAGAAACTTTTTGTGTCAATTTTGCTGGCATTTCCTATATACTCGTCGACGAGAATCACTTTTCTTCTGTTGCGCACTATTTCCTCCGTGCCGTGCATGTCATCCATGATCTGGGCCAGTAGTGAGGCCATGCGTTCCTGATCTATTTGCAGACTTTTATCTGACACCAACTGTAACAAACAAAAATTAACCTATGTTAATCACAAGTTTCCTTTTCGACACAAAGTTAATGTAATAAGTAGGAAAGTGAATCGGTCACAATCAATTATAAAGACTTACTGATCAATATGTCTGGGTTGTAACACAGCTATGTACATAGTAGCTTTATAAACTTCAAATAATTAAAACGAAAATGGATAGTAGACAACATGTAGACTCTTATCGGACACCATTGCATGATAAGCAATGAATTCATCAACATCTTCTGATACTGGTAGGCATCGAACCGGAGCACCACCATATAAACTTCATTGGTTTATCCTGAAGGCTAACTATACTAAGGCAAGCTCTAAATAGGTCTAAATCTTATGGTATTTACTAGACGATATGATTTGGCTTATCATATTGACTAATGGAGTCCAGATCAGTCAGTTACAACCGGCATTGAAATGACCACACTTGATCACGATCCTAAGAAAGTCATATCTACCAAATTAGGTGAAACTATGAATGGTTTTATCCGAGAAATAAAAATATGTTCAGCCAGTCAGATGCTTTAGTGTTAATCTTGCACTCATTTTCTTTTGTATAACATCTGTAAAATAATATAAAAGAAGCCTTGTTGTTACACTGTACTCCATCAACTTAATCACCCTAGACAGTGCGCCTGGTGAGAATGTGGTAAATTCATTCTTAAGAATTGACGGAATATCGCATCACATCAGCATTCATATCATATAGAGAGTACTAATTGTAAATAATTTATAGACACGTGGAATGCTTTAGAGGAAAACTGTGGAATGATGTGACTGTGACTTGATAGGAAATGCTGGTCTGATGATAGTAAATATGCATTGTTATAAGGATTTGAGATTATCAATGAAAAACTTGAAAATCCCACTATAACAGTGCTGATGATTGCGTCCATCAAATCAACTCGTCACAGACAGTTTTCGTCTACAATAACTCGTCCAATAAAAACGGCTATCAATATGAACCAATAAGTAATGAGAGGGTGAATAACGCCTATTTAATAACAATAATTTGAAAAGTTAAAGTTGGATTTAAACCGCTTTATAGTAGAGTAGAATGAAGGTAAGAATAGGTATAGTAAATTCTGCAGAGGTTTCTATATAGTTCGCCTCAAGGGGATCGTGGACAATTGTGTCCGTACAATATTCATCCAAACACAGTAGTGCCGTATTGCCTTGACAATGATTCTTTGTCTGCACTGTCGCTAATACTAATTTATTTGATATGTATATTCCGTCTATGCGTATTGCAGAGTAATCTTCTCTTGGGAGCAGGTATTGATTGTTACGTCACTTGTTTGTGAGAGAAACGTCATCAATTTTTGGGAAAACGACGTAATTTTCTCACACAGACCAATGACGTAACAATCAATACCTGCTCCTAAGAGAAGATAACTCTGCAATACGCAAAGACGGAACATATAGTACAAAAGAAGAAACAAGTTCTTGCGAAGGAAAATATAGAATAAAATAAAAAGTATCAAAATCCACCACTAGGTCTTTCTGCCTTCTAGGGCTTCATCAGGCGGACAAAAACAGTGAGAACATGAAGTGTTATTTTTAATAATAAGACGATTATAAACTGTAAAAAACAACCTTTAAACTTGAAACGTTTACTATGTATATCCAAATTTGATATGAATACAACAAGTGTTAAAAGAAATATGAAACCAAGGTATGATACATTGCAAATTGTTCCAAAACAGGAATAGGATCAGACATTAACTATAATTCAGAGACTGTACTCTTTTGAAATGTAAGCAATGTGGTGAATTTTATATGGGACAAACCGGATGTAAATTGAGACACTGTATGAATGCACATTGTCAACAAATGAAGGACAATGAACTAAGATTTCTAAGTTAGCAAACATATACATCAATGTTTTAAAGATGTTTTTATGTTTTACCTATTTACAAACTGAAAAGTGACGATGTAGTTGCAAGGGAATTTAAAGGAAAATATTTTTTAAACCTTAAACCGAGCTTGAATTCCCTATAATCTTTTCAATGTTTTGTATGTAGATGCTTTCTTTGTCCTTGTATTGTTTGTGACGTCGCTACGATTTTTTTTATTGATAACGTCACTGAAACTGTTTACTCTGCAAATATTGATGACGTCCTGTAACCAACGGTAACAAATACACATCAGTCCGACTGATGAAGCTTGATACTTTTTATTTTATTCTATATATGCCTCTTAAGAACTTGATCCTTTATTATCTACTATATATATAAGCAAATAAATAAGTTTTAGCGACAGTACAGAGAAAGAATTTGTCACACCATATATATATTTAAGTAATACACACCCATTGAACAAGTGTTTGTTCGAATCCAGTGCCCATAAACAGGAGGCATTTGTACAAAGTATATGAAAATATACGTTAAACTCTTTTGTAAGCTTATCAGGTATCTAATTCAGATAGTTAAACACTGTGGACAGGAAACATTAATATAGTCATATATTCTTTCTGAATTTGTCCGCCATTTAAATTGTCATTTCTCGATAGTCTTGTAGACATGATCAAATTCGCCCTTAATATTAAAAACGAAAACGTCGAAAATTACTCTAAGCAAATATACCGGGTTTTACAGTAAACAATGTAGATTAATTCTTTTGTTTTGTGATTATGTAACAAATAAAGACGTTTTAGTGTATAAGTTCATGTACAAATAGCTAAATATATTTTTTAAAGTCAACAGAAAATGTGCCATCCGTCTGTCTAGAGAAGGGTAACAAATTGAAATGTTTTTCGTTTTACACCTGTTTATATCTATATTTAATTTTCAATAGTCATTATATTTACCTAATGTTCTTCGTATAACATTTGAGCTTTGAAAATATGTTTGACAAGTTTAAAATACTTCAAGTTTGATAAATGTTTTAGCAATCTAAAAAAAGTTTCAGAATAAAAAATGCCTTACCTCAGCCAAGTTAACGTTTAATGGTGGACACGGCCCTCCCCATTTGATATGATCAAAGTAACGTCTTGAGACCACCTTGTGTCGCGGATTTGAAGATTCAGCCATGCCGAAGTTGTATCTAGTTAAATTAAACGTGACCATCACCTAAACAGTCATCATGCCTGTCTAGACACACGTATACAGTCGGTTAAAGTCACCGACTCTTTGGCCTAGCCACCGGATATTGCTCAGGCAGGAAATAAATCATTTGAACGATGGCCATGCATCACGTGATGTGAGACGTGATTGGGAAGGAAATATTTGTGTTTTATTTAACTTCGATTGTAGTCAATCATCATATAGTATATCTGCATAGTGACAATAACGAATTAATTCCATTTTAAAACACGCGTCAGTACATGTAGGAATGCATTCAGCTCATGACACCCACGTCTGTATGTACATTCTGTGTATATTATGATAGATGTGCTGTATGACACAAATGTGTAGTTAATTGAATGGTTCAGATTAATAAAATATATATTTCCTGTAACTGAGCGAGGTCGATTTATTTCAGTCGACTTACAAGGTCTTACGCCTCGGTTAGGATTATGTTACAGAATCATAGCCTCGATCTCGCTCATGAACATATTGATTTTTTCCTCGCTGCTTTTACTTATAACAACGAAAGTTTACAAGTATCCTGTCCAGGGCCTCAAATAAATTCGGCCTCTTCACTACTATAGCTACATTGAAATGCATCCCGTTTACAATGAAGTCATAACAAGGAAGAAAACATATCCCAGTGTAGATAATATTTCACTTACATCGTTAGATATTTAAAACATCTAAACAATACAAAAGTCTTAAGTTTGTCACCACAGTCATGATAATGTATCGTATCGATTGATACGTTTATAGCTACATGTATCTATGCATGTTTGATAACAGGTCAAACCTATTGGCCATCAAGCCTTACTTTTCCCACATTATCACCTTTGATGTCAATGCACTTTGTCTAAAGATGTTTAAGGGTTAAGATAGCATTCTGATAGAAACTAGTGGGTTTGGTTCTAAACCCACTCCTCAACTAGTTTCTGGAGGTCCACGCAGTTGTTTTCCTTCTAAATTTGGGAATAATGAGTAATCACAGAAGCAATATCTTGTGAGCTCGGCAGATGAGGCAAACCATTGAACCGTTAACACGTCACTGTATCAACTGCAAGTCGACACGTGTGGACTCTGGTATCGTCATGTTTAAGCTACACACTTTCCCGTACCTTTCCGTGCCGTTTGGGAACGATCGCAGCTCTTAACCAGTCTAAAAACACAATTATAGTTTAATGTTTTGATATTCAGGTTGTTTATGAGATATGTATGAATGTTTGTGGTCTTCATTCGAAATGTGTGGATTTTCAGAATATCTAATAAGAGAAGGACATATATTTAAGAAATTTGTTCGTGATAAAAGAGTGTTTCAGAGAATATAGAGATGCATTAATATTTAAGTTGCTTTGTTGAGATGTATATGGACGTTTAAACAGTCCGTTTTACGTAACACACTGTTCAGAAATTATTGTGACTGCTAGAGTTTATTTGATATATTAGGGAATGCCAGTGTTTAAGGTGCTTAAGAAAGAGCTTGTGCGTTTGAGGAGCTTATCAGATTTGTGTGGATTGTCGGGAAACTTGTCAGATATTGTCGGATGTGTAGGGAGCTTGTCAGATTTTTCTTTTGCCTGTTTGGCAAGTTCGCGAGAGATGTTGTAACAACGGGGAATTTTAATGAATGACTTTGAAATCTTAAACTTGAAGTCGTCACTTGAGACGAAAGTTTGCTGCAAGACATTTAAAAGATTCTGGATTTTTTGAATGGAGGTACAGTATGTTATTTATTATACAAATATATATGTGTTTTCTCTAAAATTGATGCTAATCTTTGACAAAACATCATACATATGTTTATTTTATCCAATTGCACATCAATTTATAATATAGCATACTCACATAATGAAATAACATGAAATCATCAATATGAAAAGTTAAAACTTAAATCTAGATGATGCTATTTGGTTCACTTCATAACAACTGAACATCAACGTCTGCCTTGTAACAGTAACCCGATGTTCTTCACATGGTTCTCGTATGGCCAGATATGTTTGCGACTCCACATTTTTGCGATTTGTACTCGTAATAGCGGATCCGATTTACATCTATTTAACTTTTGTGACCTGCATCCTGTTTCACTGGCATTATCCTGGTTGTCAACTTTCAACAAATATCACCGTGTTCCGTAAATAGCTACTACAAGCAACACTACGTGAATGAACTTTGCTAATTTTTATTTACAGACATCCATGACTTATCTGTTCCCATCCGTACATTAGCTGCACCACTGTTTGAGATACCCAATTTTGGGCAAATTGACCTTAAACAATGTAAATGCAGGTGAAGCTAGTCAATCTCAGTTCAATTTCAGGTCCTTATTGATATCAAGACTTTTATGTCAAATTCAGGTCACTCTAAGGTCAAATTCTGGTCAATTTACATCAGAAAATGTTTCGATAAATAAACTTTATCTTTTAAGTGTTTGTATCGAGGATCATATTTACGTGTGACATATAGTTACACAGATTAAATTTTCGCAATAACGTATATGCCTTTCAAACTAATGAAAATTGCATCATCGCGAAAATAAATGGCCATCAGTTCTTCCCGGTACCCATGTCTACATCTAGGTAGACTGGTAACAATGGAACTTGCCTTGTTACACAGTGCCTATGTGGTTCATACCAATGGCGTTTAAATTAATTACTATGCCTATCGCGATATGTTGCCCTGTACCGAAGACATACGGAAGCACGGAACACCTTAAATCATATAATGAGTATACACAAGTAAGAAAACGAACGTTTATATTGTTTATGAAAAATAGGAATCAGCTGTTTATTTGAGTCATCACCAAAGCACTTTCAGTCCGTTTTCCGACCTTGTTGTTCCGTAGCTACAAAATCCCAGTATCGCTTCACCCTGTCCGAGCCCTGTCTCAGCTCAGCATTGATGGCGTTCATCATAACATCGGACAGCTCCTCTTGCTTATCTGTAGGGTATATACAACATTAAAAATATTTAAACAAGGTATTGTGTAAGATTATATTTATAAAAACACTTATACTAAGTTCGGAACTAGTGCATGTTCGATGTATCCCTCCCTCTGAATCGGGAATGGTCTTCGTTTCCAGGAACACAACACACACCAAGAATACACTTGCTGTGTATCTTAAAAAACGACTTATGCGAGTCCCCCTACATATTCAGGTGTTTTCTTCTATGTCTCCTAATTAGAAGACATTAAAGTGATCATGACTGACCTGTCACCCCTATTTGGTATCTGTTCATATCATTTTCACCTAATCTATTTCTGTTTTAATGTTTTATCGGTAGTGTCTTCCTAGGCACCCGCATTCATATGACCCTAGCTGTTGTAAGGACGTTAGATTGCAATCAAAATAAAACAAAAATAACAAGTACGAGTACAGATCACGTCTACCCAGTTCATTTGTGATTTCTCTGAACGCATGCAACACATATCATTTTCTAGAAGTACATGTTCACAACAACCAGCGTTTTCAGTACATAATGCACAGTCTATCTTTACAGGCAGTACGGAACAAATGATTATTCACTGGGATCACAAACCAATTACTTTGGGATTTAAAAAAAATAATCAAGAGAAGAGATTATATGATATTTAGAAACATGCTTCAAACTGGCAACAAAGGTTTAGCAGAAAATGTATTGAAATTTAAGTTACATACCATCATACTCTATGACTCGACATTTGTCCCGATACGCAGGAAGTGTTGCCTGAGATTTCAATATGGCTTCCAACTGTGTTTTGAACTGTTGTGATTGGCTGTACATCTGTTGGTTGCTTAGGCCGGCAATCATCGATTGGTTCATCTCCTTCAGGGTTTTGACTGGTGTGACAAACTCGCCACAGAAATAGTAGTCCGATCGTTCACTCTGCAAGGGAGGTAATCAAAAAGAGGTTCAATTAGCAAACGTTGGTAAGAATACATCCTGTTGAAAGCGTGCAACATCTCTGGCCAAAGGTAAAATATGACAAGACGAGTTTGTATGGGTAGCAAGAGTTTAAATTAACCTGCAACTTATAGAACACCTGAGTCGAATTTGTTTGTTTGGTTCTTTCTCTTTGATATTATCTCTGCCAAAAACTCTAGACTGCACCGATGACTTATTCCTTGGATTCCTTCGACCATGTTACGTTGTTACGATGAAAACTTATTATTCTGTATGCGTAGTTGTGATAGGAAATCTTCCTCTGTACTGTAGTTGCATGTGGATGCACATTAAATAACTTCATTTTTACATTTTAAGACCATTTCATCTCAATTTTACTTTGTACTTTGCAGTAATACAGACTTGACATGATATACTATTACTATTGAAGACAATGTTCTAATAAAAGATATGTTCACAGTCCTGATCGACGTTTTGATATTAAAGTCGAGCAGATTATTACTCTGTTGACGCTGTTTTCAATTCCATACAGAGCCTGCAGATGGATGAACAGCACACAATATATATGATCACGTTGGTCTCTCAATTTTATAATAATAATATACAACATATGATATAGCGCCCTATCTAGCTAACATAAGCCACTCTAAACCGCTTTTCAGTACATAGATGTAATAGTCGTCTTTTATCGTGGATATACGACAACTCCTGGGTTCTTTTCTCAGTTAATTTATGACGTAAGTAAAAAAAACCTTCAATGTGAAGAGGGTTTTCTCGGACAAAGTCGGCCGAGTCCTCGGTCTTACTCGTTCAATGTAAGGTTTATTGCTTTTGGCTCTAGTGCCTGCTACCTCTTTTTATTCCTATGCTGGTTAGGTAAAGATACAGGTGTACAAGATGTTCACTGTGCTCGCTCTGACCGCTCTGTTCAAAGTGACCAGTGCACCAGGTAAATCACCCTACATTCAACACTAGGAATTCTATACATAGACAATACGTACTAGACAAACAGGTTTACAACACATTACATCACATCCGCTCAGTACCTTACTGCATTTACCCGTGCTATTCCTGCGCGGGCGCGCTAAACGTTTTGCAGCAATGCGTGACGTACACAATTACACGAAAGGCTGATTTCCGTTACATACGAACGCGGCATACAATTAATACAATTAGCATATACATAAATCAATACATTTTGTTATGAGGAATTCGCGAGAGCTGCCTTATCAGGCGCTAACTACTAGTCCTATGCCGTCTGGCTAATATCTCCCTTTGTGTGTATGCCTAGGCGCGTGTGTGCTGAAGATGTAATGTGTTTACACCAGGACATCTTATTACATTAATTGTATTTCAGTGGCATACTTACCTCAATTTTATACATTTTACAAGGAAACACCCTCCCAATTGTACCGGCTATATCTTTTCTAATCGGATGAACAGTAAATGGGCCTTTTATACGCGCCACGTTGTCCTTTTCTTGTTCGGATATCCCTACTCTTTTCTTCTCTGTGAGGGTGCTGGTACAGCAACATGACCGAGGTATGATCTGGTACAGGGTACTGGATACGTGGGTCTGTTTGTACGGTTCTTGACTCATCACAACCTTCAACTCCTTGCTCTTCAAACTTTTCTCAATCCTCTCCTTCAGATCTGACAGATGATAACATCATCGTAACATTATAATTGCCTGTACGGACATCGGCAAAAAAATGCCGAAAGCACTTTTAATAGCACCTCATTTTGATACCGTATTTGTCAAAGTGTCACTTGGCTTCACATAACGAAATTAATAACTTATCACTGATCGAACAAGCTATTTCAAGTTTATAAGTGTGTTTTTTATACTTCAAAAAATACCTATGATTATGCTATCAATTTAATATTTTATGCCAAGTATTTATTGAACAAGATTGCATAACATTATAAATATTTATAATATTACTTGTTAATTGAACTTGTGCTTAAGTTATTAAAATGGTATTTAACAACGTTAATTTAATCTGTAGTAAGGCTTTGAAGTCTTGAGGTCGACGTCATCATAAAATAGTTCACCACTATTTTAACAAGAAAATATCTTTTGCTGCCAAATTAAATGCTACGAAATTACATATGATCTCAGCTTCATGCTTATACATACCTCGGTCAGTCGTATCATTACATTTCTTTCGCTATATGTAGAGAGGCGTCCAGGTTTCAAACCAAGATGGTTTTGGCTTTGAGAAACTTCCGAAATCATAGTAAAACGTCTCATCATTGACTAACTTAATTTGCTATTTATCGTTTTAATAACGTATGCACAATATCTAATTATATATTTGAATCGCGGTGTTAAGTTGCGGTCTTTACACATGAATTATCAGGGGTGGAAATGAATATGTGATCATATCGTCTGTTAGGGGGCTAGTTTAATTTCAGGTTACATACCTTATAGAACTGATTTATTGATGGGGTTAGACGTCCTTGTCCCCAGCCTAGGACAACAAGTATATCTACTTTATTACACTTTTAAAGTCAGACCTCTTGACCACATGTCATGACCATGATACACTATGAGATTTACCTAGTGCTATGTGTAAGCCTTTGTGATATATAATACTATTGGATTACCTACCTGGTATATACATGCCGTTAACTCAATCACCACTGAAATTCCATAATGAACTATTCCAACCTTTTTATTGGAAGGGTTCAAATGTGTCTTCAGGGGTGAATGAGTTAATCTATATAAGTATATGTGATGAAGGACGTAGCTCTAGCAGTAAGTAGTACTAACCTGGTAAAACGTGGCGTAGGTAGTTGACATGGAAAGCCCAGGCAAGGCCAAACGCTACGTCACCAATAGGTATACTGGACTGGAGAGTCACACACCGCCCTGAGAAGATGATTTCAAAGTTTTAAACGATCATTATACAATCATACTTCATACGTGTACTGTAATGTCTTTGCTCAGCCTGAAATGCTCACCCTCTGGCTTTTTTAAGTCAAAATTGCTTAGAGTTTAATTTACCCAAAAGTACTTCCCAATTCTTTTTACTGTGGATACAAACACAAAAACTCCCATCGTGTTAAACTTCAAGTCGTATAAATGTGTTATTAGAACATAAACGGTTGGGTGTTTTAATAATTTTTTGATAATGCATTATCAAAATTGTTTGATTCTCACCAGTTTTGGAAGTGGATGACAATGTACCTTTTTCGTAATGTTGTAATATATATTGAGTAATGGTAAGTAGTTTTTAATTAATCTACAAATGACGATGTAATTTACAAAATTAAAAAGACTTTATTTTATACAAAGTGAGGTTTCAAGGTTCCTTTTAAACAATCAACATAACAAATAATAATTGAATACAGAATTAAAAAAAATCTACGCGGATTATTGTTTCCCATTACAGGTGCTTTAATTTTTTCATGTGTGAATATAAAACAAAATTGTAAATACCTCTATAACTTCTTCAGTTGTTTTGAAAAGTTTTTAAATCTGACTGAAAAGAATAAAATTAACAAAAATGTGATTTCGAATAAATTGAGCAAACTAGCGCTTTTATTACCAGTCCTATCGTATTGCCCTTTAAAAATGCATGTTGAGAATATTGATGATCGAACCATCGTTAATAAAGCATTCTACCATGTGTAAGATATTCCCTAATACCCTAACAATAAGTTCAGAAGTACCTGCAACAGCTTCGGATATCCTCTCCAGATAATTTTCTTCCTGCCTTTTGTCAATGTACGTAACCCACCGGATAAAGTGGGGTATGCTTGTCCCACAAACATCCAGCAACACGGGTAAAACACGCAGGGCTTTGTTATCAGAGCTCAGACTAAGCGTCTCTGATAGGAAGGTGCCGAGCCAGTCCACTGATCGCAAGGTATTCTGGGATACCACCATAACAACCCAACGAGCCTCTAAAACACGCTCCTGAACTTCTATGATGGGGTCGCCTTGAACACCAGGGCGCGCCACCGTCACTTTAAAGTTCTGTTGTTGCAGATGGTCGCGGATTTTAAATGCTGTTTTCTTGTCATCTGAACTATACAGTAGACAGGCATCAGTCTTAAAATCGGCATCCTTGTAAATGGCACTCTTCTCATATGGATAGTTAAAAAACAAAATTACTTGAAACTGCAAATCCAGTTGTCCATACAAAAAGCATAATTACATGGTTATCATTTTTCGCGTGAACTTTATTTCGCAAACAATGTCAGTAGGGTTTATTCAAAAGTATTTGAATACATGACCAAGAGAATGCTATCTCAATATTGACACTGTCTGAATTATATTCAGAAATTCTTTTTGCTGAAGATTTAAATTTGCGAGATTTTAGGAAAAAATATTTCTCTCAAAAACAAAGTTATTTATAGTAAAGAATTGGAGTAAGGTTTTACAGTGCCACAGCTTTATTGATTATAACTGATAAAACATTGTTTGAAAATTCTCCATAGTCGAGTTGATAGAAAGAAGTTAGTATTTTACCAGGGTGATACACTCCCCCCAAATAAGAGTTTGCCCCTAGCTTTTCTATAGGTAACAGCATTCTTGTAGAAGCAAGGTTGAGTAATTTTGTCAATATTTCTTGGGTATGCGCAAATGTAGCAAAAGTATTTATCTTCAATTGCCTTCTTGATCCGCATGGGATCAGTTACTAGTGTCATGCTCAACCGAACATAATTAAGAGAAATTCTCTCTAACGAGCTGACAGGAGCAGTTAGTCTTTTACCAGAGTGACCGTAGAAAATTGACGATAATGTAAAACTGACTTAACCTTTACTGCACTTCACACTTGGTATTGCGCTATTCTGGCTTACCTGGTGACATGCTAGCTTGTTCTTCACCTCTTCCTTAATAGCCCGCAACAGATGGTAAGAGGGTAAGGCCTGCTCACCCTTTTCTTCATCTGTCAAAACGAAATGTATAACCCTTTCACCACTGTTGACCATAATGGACTCATCCTGATCAATGCATGGTAGCGTCTACTAAAGTGACATAGGTGTGAAAAGGATAATTAAGCTCCCCATATTGCTTCAATATCATTAAGCTGCAGTCAGCACAGAATCAAATCCGCTTCCATGCTCTTGCTCGTTGACAAGCAAACATTACACAAATAATTCGAGTGACGTGTAAAAGATGTAAGCATCAATTATTCAAAGACTTTAGAATTACATGTCCTGATTCTAACATTTACCAAGAAGTTAGCCAGGTCGTTAGAGATCCTGACTGATGTTACCTACCGTTGTATATCAGACATTTAGTCATACGTTACCTACCATTGTGTATCAGACATTTAGCCAGACGTAACCTACCGTTGTGTATCAGACATTTAGTCATACGTTACCTACCATTGTATATCAGACATTTAGTCAGACGTTACCTACCATTGCTTATCAGACATTAAGCCAGACGTTGTCTATCGTTGTGTATTAGACATTTAGCCAGACGTTGTCTACTGTTGTGTATTGGACATTTAGCCAGACGTTACCTACCGTTGTGTATTAGACATTTATCCAGACGTTGTCTACCGTTGTGTATTAGACATTTAGCCATACGTTACCTACCATTGTATATCAGACATTTAGTCAAACGTTACCTACCATTGCTTATCAGACATTTAGCCAGACGTTGTCTACTGTTGTGTATTAGACATTTAGCCAGACGTTAC